CCCCCCCCTAGTGATCATCCCCCTCTTCTCCGCCCCCGAAAATGGACCGCTCTCCCCGTGGAGTAGGATCCGCACTTGAGGCAGAGGATGACAAGGGGCACCCGTCGCTCCGGCCCTCGCAGCCCGCACGGTGTGGGGCGGCGACGGCCTGCCCTCCCACGACAGGAGTTGACCTGGGCAACGGTGCGCACGGGCCGCGGTGGCTGATCCGCACGGAACGGCAGGTGGATCTCCCGCACCGAATGCACTGCCGGCGGTTCAAAGTCCAGCGGGAATCATGAAAGGTGCGCCTCGAGGTCTTTGGGGGTCGGGTCCTTAGGCCTCCTGGCAAGACCCCCCCAAAAGTCCCTCTCAGTGCCCCAGGGCCCCAAGACTGACGTAAAGGCTTGAAAGACACTCTGCCACTTCTTGTAGGCAGCTTCTACTAGATCGATGTCCGCGGGATCCAAATAACTCTTGGTAATCTCCTTGGCAAGGACATCGGCCCACCAGTTCGCGCGTATCCTCCTGTGGGCCCCCAGAGACCACTCCCCCCTACAGAGGCTCTGGTGGGCCTTAATTTTGTGGATCTGCCAACCGTCGAACTTAGTTAGGAGCTGCTTCTTGCGCTGGTGACCTGCCTGCTGTCGCCGGCCATCTCTAGCGCCAGCGGGGACTGCAGCTCCATGGACAACTGCTGCACAGTCCTGAAATATATGAAACTCCTGCTCCTGCAGGACTAGGTGAGCACAAACATGGAGCAATCCATGGTGCTCAGACATGTTAGCATTACACGAGACATACCCTGGGAGGAATCCTCGGACGGCCCTTCTGAAGTCTCCCAGGGCATTCACTTCCACCGCGCACCAGCCCCCGCGGGCCAACAAGGGGGTAGCGGAGTGGACAACTGAGCCATCCACCGAAATTTCGGATCCTGGGTCGTCAAAAACAAACGGTTCGATCTGACCCCCTCCTGTCAAGGTGCATCAGGATCTCACGTTGGGGAGGGGGTTACTCACAGGGGGGGGAACCTCCACCCAAAGGCAGCTAAAGAGGGGGTCGATGGGGGGCCCGCTTTCAATGCTTTTTGGAAGAGCTCTGGATCCAGCATCTGGCGACGAGGCTCCCCGAACGGACAAAGCCAAACCCTGTGGAACGTAGAATATACATCATCGCAGTGTGGGCATTTTGGGGCGACCTGGTATCCTCTCCTGCGAAGCAGGGCAGCTGTCGGGTAGCATCCCGAAAAGACTTGCCGCAGGATCTGCTGGTCCTGCACTGCGTGCTTGGGTGAGCTCCAAGCACGAGAGACTGGATGGCTCCTCTGCCCACCCTTGCCCCAGCACGTTGGATCCCCTGGAGCTCTTCGCAGACCACCCCCTGGAGCAACGACCTCTGGAAGTCCTTTCCGAGAAGGTCCGGGACTTGAGGCGGCGGGGCCAGCGCGAGGTTACATTCGACGCACCGGACCGTGGTCACTTTAGCATGATCCACAAAAGTCCAAGAAACTTGCTTGCGCCAGAACAGCATCTTGCTCAAGGGGCATCGGCCGCTAGATGCCAGCGGTCTGTTTCGGAATTGGTTCCACACCGGCGCCTCGCAAGCCGGGCGGCGAGGTTGCCCTCGGCGCAGAGAGCAGCATCAGCGGATGACCACCATTCGGCGCAGCAACGCTTCAAGGAGGCGCCAGAGCGCACCACCGGATCCTTGCTGGGCTGGAGGCGCCAGGCGAAGTCGAGATCAGCTCCCGCCCCCCAGAGCCAGATACTCTTCGCAATCTGCACTCTTAAAGCTCAACTCCATGGGGGGGGGGCCTGGGCCTCTTCGCGATAGGCGAGGCTGGGCTTGAGCCCGCGCGCGAAGGTTTTGCCCGCCTCAGCTTTCCCCCCCTGGGATTGCCGATGGTCGAGAGGCACTTTGTCGCAACGGCCAATCTGGATTATTTTGTTTCCTGGCGCCTGTGCTCTCCGGGGCCCTGCCAACGGTGGAATCAGCCCCGAGATTCACTGCGCGCCCCAAGATCCCATGCCCATATTTACCCGGAGCCTGAGGGGCCCTCTTTGCCACGTCGAAGGATTTGGTGGCGAACCGCGTTTTCTGAAGGGCAATGGGGAACTCCGACTTGTTGGTGAGCAGGTCAAACACCTGCCCCGAGAGACTAGCAAGGCTGTTCAGGCGGGCCTCGACAGCGGGCCGGCATGGCCACCGACGTCGTTACATCGTCAGTATGAAGGGTGACCTCAATAATGTTCGGGGCCATGTCGGCCTTGATCTCGCACGTCGCCGTCGAGGAACCCGCCGCCATGCCCCGTGCAGGGCGCAGGTTCAATAAGAGCAGACCCATCAGTAGCCGACGAGGCGAGCGATAGCTGGCAATGGTCAAACGGATGGCATACAGCGGAATATGGGCTCTCTCCATCCACCCAAAGAAATTGATGCGAAACGTGCTCGTAACAATGCCTAAGATCGGCCAGGAGGACTCCCACGCATTTCCCTTGGTTGCGGTGCTCTTCGCGGCGTGTCTCCACGCGGCATCAGTGGTCGACCAATGGGGCGCCATGTTGAAAGACTTGCTAGATCCCCAGGCCGACTCCCATCGTCTGCAGTCGTTCGACGAGTCTTTCGAGTAGACTCGCGTCGTGGACTGGCAAAAACCTATAGGGCGCCTGCCCTCCCTAGGCTTTCTATAAAGGGCCACGATGAGCTGTCTCAGCGTGGATAGCGCATTCCCGAGGATGATTCATCGCAGTGAATATCCCTGAGAGGACGCTGAGCCCTTGGTCGCAGATTTCGGCAACATGGCAGGGGGGAAGCTGTCGATCGATAGTAGCACCCTTGAAGCTCCGCGAAAGGCTTCTGCTGCCTGCGACGCCGGGCCCCGCTGGGGCCTGGACCTCGAGGTCCCCGCCCAGTCGCAGCGGGCGCTTCTGGCCAAACCCCCCAAGCCGCGCTCCACGCCTGCACCTGTTTCCCGAATCTGCTGAAGAACGCAAGGCAGAGAGGGTTCCGTCTGGGGGCGCGACCATGTCGTCTTCAAAATCAAAAGCGACTCTGGTGCACTGATGGGCCCTTGAAGCACCCCCGGCCACGGCCCCCTGCCGCCGCGCGCTCCATTCCCCCCTTTCTGACGCCCGCGCTCTTTTCAGGGGGGCGTAAGACCTGGGCGCAGGGGGCTCGGACATCCCCGACGAGGTCGTAAAAAAAAAACGAGGCCGAGCCTGCATTTTGACGAGGCCTCCCGCTGCAGACATCCCACGAAACTCCTCCTCGTCAAAATCCGAGGCGCGGTCGTCAAAAAAACGACGGCGAACCCGAGCCCTGGCAAACCCGGGCCTTGCGCCCCCCCGATCTTTGGCAAGGGGGGTGATTTCGAGCTCCTCCAGGCTGGCCACCGTCGCATCTAGGCCGCCCAGCGGACACTCTGCCTTGCGGCCAGCAGCCAGGTGAAAAGGGGGATGGGGGCCGGAGCAGAGTCGACGCAGACAAAGCGAAGCCCCTATCTTTCGGCCAGAAGTTGCCGAATTGCCCGCTTTCCTTGTTGACCCCCTAGGTATGCTGGGGAAGCTCGGGCGCGGCAGGCTGGCACCGCCTGTCAGGGCTGCGAAACTGCATATTTAGCCCTTTCAGGCGTCTGAGAAGCCAGGCCCGCACAACGACCATCCGAGACTCGGAGGTTGCGCTTCGTAATCAGCAGCCGGCGTAAATCAACATTTTCGGTTTTTTTGATGGAGGCCCCCTTGGCGGCCCTGGGCCCCCTCTCTGTGGCAAGTCCCCCGCAACTCTTCCCAGGCCGTCGTGCGCCGCCCATAGTGCGCCACGTTGAGGGCCTGCTCGAGGCCTTCTCTCCTCGGGCTCGGGAATGCGATGTCCTTCTGGGGCCCTGAAAGTTCCCGGGGCCCGCTGCATGCGGCAGGGCCCCGCAGGCCGCCGCATTGGCAGCGCTTCGCGTCTGCGAAGACGCCCAAATTGCACAAAGAAGGGTTCCGCAGTCAAGTGGGGACCCACGGCGCAATGCGGGGAAACGTCGCTGTTGAGATCCGCGCCGGTCGAGAATCCTGCCTGGCAAATCAGTTCTTTGCTTCGGATCTTGCCAACCGTCTAAGTAGCTCCTGTGCAGCATAACCACCCCTCCTGAGGGGTGCCCTTGAGCAGCGGTAATCGGGGGGGCGCAGCAACTGCCCCAGCATGCCGCAAGGCAAGTCTTTTTGGCCTTCCGAAAGTACGTCCTGGCGCAACTTGTGCTCCTGGACCAGGATCACATGGGCCCTCGTGCATTTCGCATGCCCCTAGGCCCGCCCCCCCCCCCCCCATCCCGACGCGTCTATAATGCGAATCTGGAAGGAAGATCCGCCCGACACAGGGTGAGGAGAGTCAGGGGGACGTCCAGAGGGGGGCGACGGGACTTGACCTTATACTTGCTATTGCTAAAGAACATCCTGGTCCGCGCTCGGAAGGCCAGCACCCGCGGCGGCGGCGGCCTTCGGGCAAGGGTCAGAAGCGACGGCAAGAGGCTTGGCCTTTGGCTCAGGGCACGGGGGCTCAGGCTCATTTCGTTTGGCCCTTCCTCTGGGGCTCCTCTCGCGTAGCGATTCACCTCTAGTGCCTGCAGCACGTAGAGGATGCTCTGGTGGTCCCTCTCGTTCTTCTCGCGGCGGGAGGGCGGCAGCTGCTGGGACTGGTACTAGTGCCGGGGTTCATGGCTGCGCTGGGCCTGCTGGGGCCGACGATGCGTAAGATGGCGGTGATCCCGCCAGCAGTGGGCCCAGGAAGTCCAAGGGTCCAAGGTACTCCAGATCTCGTAATAAAAAGGAGGGGGTCTGGACCCTCCAAGACAAGCCATTTCAGACCTCCCCCGTGGGGGAACCCTCCAAAACATCGTCCCCAGACCCCCCCAGGCCCTCCAAGATAGCCTGGAAGAGACCCCCCCCGAAATTAGACCCCCTCCCTTTTATGACGAAATCTGGAGTATCCTTGGTGCGCTGCGCGTCTTCCCCTTTCTGTGCGACCCTGCCTGCTGCCACCTGCTCGAGCTGCGGCTGCAGTCGCAGGCGCTGCTGGGCCTCCTGGAGGCGGCCCGCTCGTCCTGCGGGTGCTCCTCCTGCCGCTGGAGGTGCGCACGGGCATCCACAACCTTTCTCCACGGGGCCCACGTTCTTTCCGTGGACGGCGACCTGGCGCTCAATCTTTGGACATCTGCTGCTGGCCACCAAGAGCTTCTGCGAGGCAGACGTTGTGGAATCCCGCTCTGCACGAAGGGAGGCCAGTTTGGTTCGCAACGCCTCGGCTGCGGGCTGTTCATCGTCTCCACATGTCGTGAGCATGTCCAGCGCGTTCTGGGCCAATTGAATATGCTGGCCGATGGGGGTGCTGGACTTTGTGCCGTCCATGGTGGCGTCATCCTCTGCAGGCTGAGGAGGATGAGAAGCCGCAGGAGTCTCTGCGGCGCCCACAGTCGACGGCGGGCTCCTGTCCCCTGGCGTTTCTGGGCCTCCCCTGCGACGACCTCGGCCCTTGGAGCGCCGTCCTCGGCCACGGCCTTGGCGCTCGGCTGGGGCGCCCCATCCACCACCCGGGCGGTGCGTTGGAGAAAACCACCCTGTGTTCTTCCAATGGGCTCCACACTGCCAGCACCATGAGGTTCGGCGATGTTGATGCCTGGCACGTGCCGCACGTCCAAGCAAAGTCACGCGGCCCGCTTTTTCCGCCGCCATGCCCTGCGGGCTTACCCATGGCTGCGGGTGAGCGGAGAACGAACTGAAGGTGGTCGTGTTGAGCCAGATCCTGGCCCCAGTCAAGCTGGGGCTGCCTGAAAATATGGTAATCTGGAAGCGGGTCCCTGGCTGGGCAGCCACCTGTGGGACCCGCGGACACGGAACTGGTCCTCGACCACCTCGAGGCATGGATTGCTTGAGCCAAAATAGCTACGAATCCTTCTGCTCCTCATCCTCCTCCTCCTCCTCCTCCTCCTCCTCCTCCTTTTCCTCCTCCTCCTCCTCCTCCTCCTCCTCCTCCTCCTCCTCCTTCTCACCCCTTCCGCTCCCACCCCACGGTCCCCTGCTGAGCCCGATCGGCGTCTGAGCCCGTTCGGCCGCCGCATGGGCAGCCGAACGGGCTCAGATTCAAACAGGGTCAGAGGAAGTGCGCCCGTTTGGCTGCCGAATGAGCTCAATCTTGAGCCCATTCGGCGGCCGACCCTGGGGTTCTCAGAACTCTCATATCCCTGTCGAAGCAGAAGGCGCCTCGGCACGGGGCACGGGGCTTGCGAGCTCGGGCCCCGCTCGCCAGGGGCACGCTGTTGACGTCGCGGGCGCGCCCCGGTGCGTCCGTCGAGGGAGGCAGCGGACTGCCCAGGACCCCCGCACGGACCGCTGCAGGACAAGACCCACGCGACTTCAGGGTCCATTTCGATCCGCTCGATCCGACTTGGCATCGCTTTCGGTCGGCCCGATCCGATTCGGTTCAGATGCCCAGACCCCCGACGTCATGACTTGTTCGTGACGTCGACCCACAGAGGTCTCGACCGTTCCCCGGGGTCGGTTCTTCATCCTGAGCCGTTGTTTGACGGCTCCGAGGCCCGGTGAGACCCCCCATGGGCTGAGCATAACGAAAAGCCGACAGCGGTCCTTGCCCCAAACGGACAGGACCTGCTCTTTGCCTCCGTCTACTCATTCTTGCCGCACCCACCTCGATCCTCCAGATTCGTGGCTCGAGGCGGTCCCCAGCGGCGCATCGAGTCATGAGTCTCGGGGGCGGCCAAGAGGAGGCCGCCCAAGAGTGGGGGACGCAAATCGTGGCCGGCGGCATGTGCGCGGCCCAAGGGGGGCCAGGGACGTAATGAAATAAGAAGAGGCGCCATGAAATCTGGGGAGATATCATGGCCCCCACCATGATATCCACCCCCCCCTAGTCATCACCCCCCTGTTGGCCGCCCCCGAGGCTTTCCTGGATCGGCGCTTGCCCCCGTCTACCGGCGCGCGGAGCGCGCCGGGGTCCAGCGCCGATGCAAGAAGTCCGCGCGGCACTCCGAGCGTTTATGTTCATGAAGCCTGCCTGTGTGGAGGCCTCCCACATCTACACCCTGCGAAATGCTTAAGAAACCATGGGTTAAGAAATTCAGAGTCTCAGAACTGGAATAAAAACCCAGAACTTCTATCAAAATCTTGGGATTTACATTGACTCTGGCCGAAAACTTAGGTTTTCTTAAGCATCGCCTAAGGTGTAGTCATCACCCCCCTAGTCATCACCCCCCTCCTTGCCGCCCTCGAGAGTCCGGAGGACGGCCAGGGCGCCAACACGGCCCAGGGCGCCTCATGGAGGAGGAGGAGGAGGAGGAGGAGGAGGAGGAGGAGGAGGGAGGGAGGGAGGGAGGGAGGGAGGGAGGGAGGGGGAGGGAGGGAGGGAGGGAGGGAGGGAGGGAGGGAGGAGGAGGAGGAGGAGGAGAACGCGGCGGCGAGGACGCCGGGGCGCCTCCGCGGGCCCTGGGCGCCTCATGGAGGAGGAGGAGGAGGAGGAGGAGGAGGAGGAGGAGGAGGAGGAGGAGGAGGAGGAGGAGGAGGAGGAGGAGGAGGAGGGAGGGGGAGGGAGGGAGGGAGGGAGGGAGGGAGGGAGGGAGGGAGGGAGGGAGGGAGGGAGGGAGGGGGAGGGAGGGAGGAGGAGGAGGAGGAGGAGGAGGAGGAGGAGGAGGAGGAGGAGGAGGAGGACGCGGCGGCGAGGACGGCCGGGGCGCCTCCGCGGCCCTGGGCGCCTCCCGCGGCCCGGGGCGCCTCCCGCGGGCGGCTGGGCGCCCCGCCCGGGCCCGCCAGCCTCGCGGCCCCGGCCGCCAGCCGCCTGCGACCGCCGCTGGCCGCGGGCCTCTCGTCGGCACAGAAGGAAGTCGGGCATGTCCCTCTACAGGAGGAGTGCTCAAAAATATAGTCAGCAAAGATATTCGACGATTCCTGACTCTTGAAATAGGTTTGGCCATTCTTCAGTTCTCTTCCAAGCTCCGCCTGTAGGAGGACGTGCCCGCCCGAACCACAGAATGCGCCCTCAGTCGCTGGCGCTGCAACTTATGCACGAGAGGGGGGACTGTGCCCTGTTCCCGGGGCGACAGTATGAGTATCGCTTAACCGATCCCCATCCCCGGCGGCGTGGCCTGGGCCTCGCTGGCCGATCTACCCCCCTAGATGGGGATCTAGGTCGTTCTCGTCAGGTTTCGAGGCGTGTATCCCCAACTGGGGTAGTCATTGGTGGGGATCTCGAAGGGGATGGAGATCGCTTGAATGATACCGACGATAGCTGCGGATAGCCCAGGGGTGGGGAGCAACACGCAGGTATGCAGTGGCGCCGACGGTCCACCTCGGAGAGGCCCCCCGGCGACTACGCGTAATGCCGCCCCTGGGCGAGTCGCCCCTCTCATTGACTACCTACCAGACCACCCCAACCCAACCCGAAGACACGAATTTGACCCGAACCTCGGCATGGGGGGGCACGGGTTCCATGTGTTTTTTTCAATGTTCCCCGATCCCCCCCCCACTGGAAATGGAGGGCACATTGAGGCCTTCGGGTTGGGTTGGGGTGGTGTGGCGGATGGTGACTCATCGCCTCGAGTGCTTCGGGGCCCAGGGCTCTCACAGATCGGTCGGGCGCGCAAAATGGCGCAGAAGGATGGGATCTGTAGTGCTCTGGATGCTACTTGCTGCGACGCTTCCACTTTCTGCCGCGCCAGCTCTCAAGGCCCTCCGCGTCCGCGGCCTCGCGGGCCGGGCCCCCTGGGCCGAGCCCCCGCAGGGTACGCGGCGCTTTTTTTTCGCGGACGCCCCTATTGGGCACGAGTCGATAAAGGGGGGGGGAGGCAGGCACACTTTTCGGACCCTGGAGGCCTGGAGGCCCCCTTTGGGGCCCTCACGGGCCCTAAATTTAGGCTCGTGAATTGTGACTACAGGCAGTCCACGACCACTTCGGGCCAAAAAACCCAAACCAAAAAAAACACCAGGAAATCTTGAAACCAAAACCTGGGGAGGTCGAAATCCGGAAAACAACTCAAGCACCGAACCTGCGAAAAGTTCAAACCCACAAAAGCATAGAAAAACCTGAAGCTCAAACCTAGGAAAAAACTCTGGAACAATTCTGGAAAACTCTGGAAACAACTCTGGGACAACTTATATATATATATATATATAAATATATATATATATATATATATATACATCTACATATACACATACCTATATATATAACTGGAAAGGTCTAAACGACTGAAAATTCTAAACCATTCTGGAAAAACTCCCAACAAACTCTAAACGCTTGAAAACTCTAATCTATACTCTGACATCTATATATATATACTCAAACTCTGGAAAACTTTCAAACAACTCTGGAAAAACTCCAAAACACTTAACAATATCTTCCAGGTTTGAGTTTTGTTTCCGGGTTTGAGCTTCAGGTTGTCTATCAGTTTTTGTGGGTTTGAAGTGTTTCCCAGGTTTAGGCTTCAAGATTTTCTGTAGTTTCTTCTGTGTTTGAGTTTTTCCCAGGTTTTGTGTTTGAGATGTTCTCAGGTTATCTTGGATTTTGAGTTTCCCATTCAAGATTATTTTTTGCAGTTGTTTGGGAGTTTGAGTTTCCGGCCGAAGATGTTTTGAAGATTTCGGCAGGTTTTCCTATGGACCGCCTGTAGTCAATTCACGAACCTAACCCTAAAGGGCCCCTTTTCGCCAGCCCTCTCCGCCCCCCCCATTCATAGCCCCCCCCATTACACGAGGCCCAACCACGTCCTCAAGACGCGCTCCAGAATCCAGACCGCAGTGGCGCGGATACGGACACAGGGCTCGAGCTGAAAAACACGCGTTCTTCGCTGTCGTGTTGTCTTCGGTTTTCCTTCGCTCTGCCTTCGTCGCGCCTCTGCTGCAGAACGAAATTAAAACTAAAACGGTCCACGAGATCACCCAAACACCGCTTAGCTTCAGGTCGGGCATGTCCTCCTTCAGGCGGATTTTGTGAGAAACAACGAAATGAGCCAGAACAAATGCTCAAACGTAGTCATAAAAAGACGCAGAGACTATTGTTTGCCTGCCTTTGAATATTCCTCCTGTAGAGGGACATGCCCGACTTGAATTTAGCTCGAGCCCTGTACGGAGATATTCGCCGCTCGTGCAGAGGCCTCCTAGGTGGGGTCGTAATAGCTGGTGTCGGAGGATCGCGCCGCATCGCCGATGCATCGGCGAGACATCCCAAATGCGTCGGCGATGCGCCTGCGACGCCGGCGCTGCATCGGCACCGTCGGCGTGAAGAAGATCGTGCTCCACATCGAGCCGCATCGCCGATGCATCGGCCAGGCAGCGCCATCCTCCGACCCCACCTGCTCCGACCCCGCCTGGGAGGCCTAGATTTAAGTCGGGCCGATCCCCCTACAGGGGGATTTTCGACGAATAATAAAAAATGCCCCGGAAATGCCCCCAAAATGCTCAAACATGCTCAAAAAATAATCCCCGAACTATTTTTTGATCATTTTTGGAATATTTTGGGGATATGTTTTTTTATGTTTCGTCGAAAATCCCCCTGTAGGGGGACAGGCCCGACTTACGCCCAAATCGTGGGCCTCGGGGCCCCGGCCGCCGGCGGGCGGCGGGGGCTCGGCGGGCCGCCGCCGCGGGTCGCCGAGCCGGCGGAGGTCGTCGGCGCGCCTGGCCGGGGGGCGCGCCGCGAAGGGGGATGCGCAGGGACATACTAGTACTATATGTCCTCCTTGGAGGCGCGCGTCCCATCCGAACATATAGTATACTCATCTTGTAGTATGTCGTTTCCCGAGCGGGGCGGGCTGAAGGCGCCCGCCACGGCACATATACCATAAGATTTCTCGGTGCGCGCGTCGGCCCCTGGGGGGGAGACGCACACCTAGTATAAGTATGTTGGGGCGACGCGGAGCGAAGGGGGAGCGCAGGCTGCCTGCCACTGGGGGGGGTCCGCCGCTGCAAGTCTCAGGTCGGGCGCGTCCCCCTACCAAGGGGATCTTCGACGAGAAATAAAAACAAAATACTCCAAAAGTAACCCCCAAAATGGTAAAAACAAAAAGAAATACTCAAAAAATAGTCCCCAGGCTATTTTTGGACTGTTTTTGAATCTTCCCCGGGTAGAGGGACAGGCCCGACTGAATGCAAGTCCACATGCAGTCAAAACGTGTGTCGAGGACGGGTTGCCTTGGCGCGTGTCTGTTTAATGATACTCCACGACGCTCCCCCCACCCCTACCCCCCTACCTTGGGGATGCCGATGCAGGGCACAACATTGGGGCCTCGAGGCTGGGTTGGGGTGGTCTGGTGGGTGGTGGGTCGAGGGGCGGGGGGGGGCCTGGTGCCGACCCCAGGAGAGATCCGAGCGGGGCGCCTGAAGCTGCCCACCCCGGTCGGAAGAGGTGGGCAGAGGCACGGGGAAGGAAGGCGCTGGAAGTACAGTCAAAACGTATATTGAGAGGACGGGTGGTAGTTGGCGGCGAGCGAGGGGGGGAAATGAGAAGGAGAAGGCCTTCTCAGAAGGCTCAGAAGTCCCCTGGGCTTCTGAGAAGTTTCCTGAGCCTTCCCCGAAGACACACCAAAAACTTCTCAAAGCCGCGAGGGCTTCTGACAAGTCCCGCCGCCTTCTCAGAAGGCCTTCTCCTTCTCAATTCCCCCCTCGCTCGCCGCCGTGGTAAGGACGCAAGACCTCTGGAGACCGGAGTTGGCACTGCTGGGGCAGCGGGCGACCAGTGATGACGGCAGAGGACGGGCCGTCCGTGCACAGTGGAAACGTATACGAAGGGCGGGTGGTAAGGACGCAAGACCCTCGGAGGCCGAAATTGGATGTTGTTGGGCGGCGGGCGACCAGTGAAAGCGGCACAGGACGAGCCGCAGAGGCAGGGGCACGAGGGTACCCTAGAGGAAGGCGCGCGTCCTTCCTAGGCGCGTTGACTGTAGGGCTTGTCAGGGCGAGGGGGACGATCGGTCCTACACAACCCCTGGACGCGTGGGTGAAGCGGGATTCTGTGGCCCCAATTCAGTTTGTTGTTGTTGGTTGGTGTAGCTGATATTGTTGTTGCACTCGGTCGCGAAAGGATCATTGCTGCTGGGCCCCCTCACTGCGCCTTGCCGTCCTCGCCTCGGCGCCCGCTGCGGTTCCTTCAAAAATGAAGCTCATGCTCAAGCGTCCCGGTGGCACGCCCGAACCGGCCCCCCAACAACAACAATCATTCAACCCTCATGCGCCATGCTGTTACGTGCCCCATGCATCCACCATGATACCCCTTGCATCCATCAGAATGCATCCACCATGATGCTTGCGCGTGCCCCATGATCCACTTCCCCAATTTCAACTTACACGGCACCTGACAAAATCAGTGCGACTGTGGGGAGCGGTGAGGATTACAAACACAAGAGATTCGAACCCAAGGAGAAGGGCAAGCTGTAGAAGCATACGTCAAACACTGAGGATTCGAGCCCAAGCCGAGGGGTCATATCTAGCAACATGCGTAAACACACACGGATTCGAGCCACAGTCGAGGAAACATACATACATATCTATATCTGTATATATGATATAGGCATGTCTGTCTCTAGGAACATGCGTAACACGCAAACGGATTCGAGTCCCAAGAGAAGGCCAAGCTACAGGAGCATAAAGAACTCCAGCCCCAGGAGAGGAGCGGCGCGAAGCTTATGGTGACGACGCCTACGGTGGCGAAGCCCTCGGCGGGCCGAAAAACACTCCCCGAAGCTATATCGACATACAGACAGTGCCTCCTGGGCCTCTTGGGGCCTCGTGGGGGCGGGGCGGCCGAAAAGCGCCCCCCGAACGGAGAACCCAATACGGAAAAGCGTCTCCAGGGGCCTCCCGGGGCCTCCCTGGGGCGGGAGGGCCGAAGCAACACTCCGCGAGCACAGATCCCGATGTAGAAAAGTGGTTTGGGGGGCCTCGGGGCGGAGGAGGGGCCGAACAGCGCTCCCCGAATATCGATTTATACATATATATATATATATATACACATACCTATACATATATATATATATATATATATATATATATGTGTTTCTATGTGTATGTCTATATATATATATATGTGTATACAGATCCCGAAACATAATGTCTCCTCGGGTCTCCTGGAGTCTCCTGGGGGCGGGAGGGCTGAAAAGCGCTCCCCGGACAGATGTCCCTGGAGCGTCCTGGGGCTTCCTGGGACCCCCGCAAGTGACGGCAAGATTGCTCTGACGGGTTCCCCTGGGCTGCTAAGTCGCAAAGACATCTTAAGCGAAATCCGTTCCGACGTCCGCGAGTAGCAACAATAATGCTCTGAAGGACCCCCCCTGCGGTGCGGACGTGACAAACAAATCATGCGAAACTGTAATTCGGGCATTCACGCGTAGCAGCAACCTTGTTCTGAAGGGCCCCCTTGTAGTGCTAAATTGTGACGAGGTCTCAAACGAAAAGGCCGTTCTGGCATTCGCAAATCCGGTAAGACTGCTCTGAAAGACCCCCGTTGTGCTGCTACATTGCAGGGACATCTCGGGCGAGAGCGCCCGTCTTGAGGTTCGGGAACCCTCTTGCCAGGGCCTCTCGGATTAAATTGTGACTAGTAAACTGCGCGGGAGCGTTGTTGCTGGTGTTGTGGGGGGGGGGGGCGGTTAAGGCGGTACCCCGAAACGCTCGAGTGTGAGCCTCACTTTCGAAGAACATGCAGTCCTCGCCGAGGCAAGAACGCCGAAGCGCCTGCTATATTTAAGTCGGGCGTGTCCCCCTACAGGGGTATTTTCGACGAAAAATTCATACGATCCCAACAATAATCCAAAAAAGTCCAAACATAGTCTGGGGACTATTGTTTGAATCTGGTTTGACCTTTTTGGTGCACTTTTGGGGTATGTTGTATTGTTCATCGAAAATCCCCATGTAGGGGGACACGCCCGACATAATGCCACATGCATCTATCATGAATATGCAGCACGGGAGGGGCGTTGTTGCGGGGGGGTGCGTTTTGCGCAGCACCCCGAAACGCTCGAGCGCGAATCTCCATTTCACAAGAGATGCCGCCCGCGCCGAGGCGAGAACACAAAAGGCGCCTGTATGGGGCTTAACACTGACAATGCGCCATGTCCCTACGTGCCACATGCATCCATCATGCATATCAAACACGGGGACAGCCACTCCCACACCCAGATCTCCTGCCGAGGCAGGCAGGTCGAGCCAGCACCTCTCCCGAGGCACGTTCCCATCTTCAGCCTGCACGGCACACGGCAAAAGCAGTGCGACTTTGAGGAGCGGCGAGGATCCCAAACGCGAGAGATTCGAGCCCTAGGAGAGGGGCAGCTGAAGGAACAGACAAACTCAGTGCGATTTTGAGGAGCGGCGAGGATTCCAAACACGAGAGATTCGAGCTCCAGGAGAAGGGCAATCTGCAGGAACAGACGTGAAACACATGACGGATGCGAGCCCCGGTCGAGGGGTCACATCTAGCAATGGATGTAAACACACACAACAAGGACTTGAGCCCCAATCGAGGAACAGTATGACATATAGGACCATACGCAAAACACAAGAAGGGTTCGAGCCCCAGGAGAAGGGCAACCTATAGGAGCATAGGCAAAACACAGAAAGGCCTCGAGAGCCCGGGAGAGTGGCAGCGAAGCTTCTACGGGGCGAACCCTACAGGGGGTCCCCACAGCACTCCCCAACCATGTTCCAGTGGAGAAAAATGCCTCCAATGGGGCCTCCCTGGGGCAGGGGGGCCGAGCAGCGCTCCCCGACCACTGACCCCGAGACCGAAACGTGCCTCCCGGGGCCTCCTCGGAGCGCAGGAGGGGCCGAACGGCGCTCCCAGAGCACACAGGTCCCGATACAGAGTGCCTCCATGGGGCCCCCTGGAGGCGGGATGGCCGCACCAAGCTCCGCGAACAGGTGTCCCTGGCCCGTCCTCGGGCCCCCCGGGGTCTCCGCAGGTAGCGGCAAGACTGCTCTGACGGATCCCCCTCTGTAGGGCCGGTTCCATTGCCGAGAAGTGTTAGGCCGACGGGCCGTTCCCGCATCCGCGAGCAGCAGCAAGAATGCCCTGAAGGACCCCCTGCGGTGTCGAAGCGCTTAGAACTCCCAGGCTCTTAAGAACTCCCAGGCGAGAAGGCAGTTCCTGAATACGCAAGCTGTAGCAGCCTGGTTCTGAAGGACCTCTTTGCCGTGCTCAAGGGCGAGAAGGTCTTATCCGGCGTTGGCAGAACTGTGTTTAGTGGGACCTGGTTTAGTGATCTGTTCTGGGGGACGCCCCCCCCCCCGCCCCGTTCCACTAACCGGAACTGCCGCCATCCGAAAAAAACTCCACCTACGGCAGACCTGGTTTAGTGATTCTGGCCAGCTTAGGGGTCCCGCTACTAACCAGGTCCCCTCAACCAGGGTCCTGGCTATGCCGGCTAGACGTAAGAGTGAACCTGGGTAAGAGTGACCTTGGGTGCGCAGCTTTTGGGGGCGCGAAGGAGCCAAACCCAAGGGCGTGGGCCGCTTATATCGCATCGTGCTCGGCGATCGGGGGGAGCCCGAGTAGGGGCTCCAGGGCCCTACCACTAACAGGGTCCCCTTACCTGGGGTCCTGGCCATACCCGGGCTTCAGCGAGCGATCCGGCCGCTCCGGCATCTGCAAGGAGCGGCAAGAGAGCGCCGAGGAACCCCTTGGTGGT